AAAAAAAAAGTTAAGGAGTTACAGAGCTAGTACAGGGCAGAGCCTGGGTTTGAGCCCTGTGCTCTCTATCTGGGTTCTTTTCAATACAACAAACTCTCCGTTTCAACCACCTTCATCTTCAGAGACGCAAAGATGGACAAGACATGAATTCTACCCTCCAGAAGCAAAATGGGGACACATGGACATAAATATATGACCATACGAGGCTATAATAGGGAGATGCCCCATGAGCTACGTGGTCAGGAAAGCCTCAAGGGGCAGGGAGAACCGGCCCTCAAAACAAAGGTGATGCACCAGTGTTCATTGTTCTTGTTGTTAGGTGCCGTTGAGTTGGTTCCGACTCATACTAACCCTATGGACGACAGAATGAAACACTGCCTGGTACTGTGCCATCCTCACGAGCGCAGCCATGTTTGAGCCTATCACCTGAGGGGCTCGTCTTCCGGCACGATACCAGACAATGTTCCGCTGCTATTCATAAGGTTTTCACTGGCCAATTTTTTTAAAATTAGGTCACCAGGTTCGTATTCCTAGTCTGTTTTTAGTCTGGAAGCTCCACTGAAACCTGTCCACCACAGGTGACCCTGCTGGTATTAGAAAAAGCTTCCAGCATCACAGCAACAGGCAAGCCACCACAGCATGACAAACTGACAGATGAGTGGTGGGTCATAGCGGCATTATATTGGGCTATTATTATCATTATAGCCAAAAAGGCGGAAATAATCCAAATGTCCATCAAGAGACGAATGGATATGCAAATGTGGTCTATAAATACAATGGGGTGTTAATCCGCCGTAAAAAGGAATGAAGTTCTGATTCATGTTACCACACAGATGAACTTTGAAAATAAGCTCAGTGAAATAAGTCAGATACAAAAGGACAAATATAGTATGAGCCCATTTAAATGAATTATCTACAACAGACAAGAAGGAGGTTAGCGGTTAGTATGGGCTGGGAGGAAAGGGAGGAATGAGGACTTACTGTTTAATGGCCACAGTTTCTGTTTGGGGTGATGAAGGCTTTTTTTTATTGTACTTTAGGTGAAGGCTTACAGAACAAATAGTTTCTCATGAAACAGTAGTACACATGTTTTATGACATTGGTTAACAACCCCACAACATATCAACCCTCTAACTTCTCAACTTTTTTTTTTGGTGAAAATACACATAGACAAAGATACACC